CACCTAAAGGGACAACAATTTGGGAGTGTTCTGAAGGCAACTAATGCTGCAAATGAGTAGTTACACCAGCAGTTGGAAGAATTTTATTTGCAGGGACTTAAGAAACTGCAGGACAGATGTCACAAGTGCATAGACTTCCTGCAGGAATATGCAAAATAGTGTGGCAGTTCCAGCTTCCTAGCTCAATTTTTTCTGGGAAAGGCTCAGTATTTATCAGCACCCCCTCGTAGTCAACACCAGACCACCAAAAAAATGTAAACAACCCCTTCCCTCCTTCAAATCCCTCTGCCAACTCCCCCCTTTTCTATTACGCCTTTCTCACAAACCTCCCATTTCTGTGACTAATCCAAAGCAGGTATCATTGAAATAATCACCTTTTCTAGTTTACCCATGCCATTTTCCTCCCCGTTTCTTTCCTCTTTTGCTTCTCTGTGTAGAATTTTGCATATACAGCCCATTGCAGTAGAGACCTTTCTGCTTGTATTCTCTAAACAAGCACACTGTCTATTCATGTCCCTGCACGCTGACAGTGCTATATAGTAATAATAGCAGAAGTGGTTATACTGTAATAGTAGTAGTAGAAGTAGTCATTGTAAGTAGCAATAACAATAAGAGGTTGATTTCTGATGGAATCATATTTTAGTTTGATCCATTCAAATACTGTAAGTGGGACTTCAGTTACTCTAGAGATGCAACCACAGAGACATACTATATGTCTTGCAATCTGTTCTGCGTTCCTCACTGATCATGTCAATATTTTCTCTGACAATTAAACAATGTTATTGCTAATCTTGAGTAGACCTGATCTTTTTTCGGAGTATCCAGTATATTTTGTTCACTCCATACTGAATCCGATTTTCTTTTCAACTTTTGGGAAAAAAAATGCTGTTTCCTCTCACATTTTTTGTCTCGAAGTTGTATTCTGTTAACCATTTTTTTGGTCCTTCCAGAATGTTGTTGAGCATGTCTCAAGAACCTAGATCAAAATGTATGCAGACAGGCATGGTATGGCAGCAAATGCTTTTGCCTGTTCCATCCCACTGGTTTGCACTGCTTCTAAAATAACAGCTGCTTTTCTTTGCACTTTTATTTTACAATGTACAATGATTCCAGCAGTACATTGGTTTACAGTTTAAACAGGATTTGTGCTGCACCCCCTCATACAAGTATCCTTGGGCTTCATGCCACTGACAACAACAGTTCTGCTGTGGAGGAGATGTGTAAATCTGGTTCATCCACATGATCCAACACTTGTGTGGGAACTAATATGCTCACATGCTATCTAAGATTATTATTAGTCTTAATGTTGTTACAGGACTCTTTGAGCTCACTTGCACTGAGCATTTGTTCAACTTTTTGCACCAGTACTTTTCCTAGCATCCGTAAGATGTAAGGCTGAAACCAGCATCAGCAGTTTTAAAGTGGGACAAATAAGCCTTACTTTCCAAGGGTTTTCATTTCCATTTGTATACATCTTTACATGTAGACCCTATTATTTTTATTTATTTTATTTATTTATTTTATTTATTTAATTTATATGCCGCCCACTCTACCCAGAGGTCTCTGGGCGGCTTACAATAATTAAAATTCAATACAATAAAAATAAAATGATTAAAATACAATTAAAATACAATTAAAATTGCCATCATCGGGACCCACAGTTGATGTTATTTCAATTAAAAGCCTTCTGGAACAGGAAGGTTTTGACCTGGCTCCAAAATGTCATCAACGTCGGCGCCAGACAAATTTCAGTCGGGAGGGCATTCTATAGTCTGGGGACAACTGCTTTCAAAAAACAAGCACTTTGAATTGGGCCAGGGCAGCAACTGGTAACCAATGTAAATTAAACAGAATCGGCTTGATGTGATCTCTAGCGGCTCCACCACTCACCAGCCGCGCAGCTTGATTCTGGACCATCTTCAAAGGCAGCCCCACGTAGAGCGCATTGCAATAATCTATACGAGATGTTACCAGTGCGTGTGTAACTGTCATGAGACTCCGCTCGTCCAGGTAGGGCCGTAGCTGGTATAATTTCCGCAGCTGAAGGACGGCACCTCTGGCCACCGAGTCCACCTGGGCTTCCAAAGTTAGACTGTGTTGACCTGTAGTGCTCTGTGCCCTTGTGGGTATGTCATTTAAGGCAGTATTTAATTGTGCTGAGTTTTCACCAGTCATTATTTTACCTTTCCTTTTCTTGTTCCGGCTAATGTCTCAGAATAGCACTAGGATAACAGCTGCTGTTGTCTTTTGCCCCCCCTCCCTCTTTTGGACATTAGTTTTACACTAAGGTGGATAGGAACTTTCAATAAGAGCATTGCTAACATGGAATATCACAATGTCACATTTTCATTTTTGTAATATGAATAAAGGTTTTGTAAGTATTCTTTATACTTGGCACTGTGATGTCTTGTTCTCTTTTCATACAAGATACAGTATACACCAGATAGCTCAATAGTATAGATATCTGGCTACAGAGTTCAATTTCACACTGTGCCTCCTTCACATGGACTGGACTTAATTATCCATAGGGTCCCTTCCAACTCTGTACTTCTAAGAATATTTTTATTGTTAAGTTATATTTTTCAAAGAACTAGTAAAAAAAACCACTGATTCCCAATTATTGCAAGAGAGCTATGAACCTCTCCTGTCAAAAAGTGAGATTAGCAGCTCTCAGAACAGCCCTAATGCCTGCCTACCAGAAAGCAAAAAACAAAATCCAGCAAAGGCCAGTACTTTCTGACAGAGTGCCCCCCCACCATGTTTTTCAGAGTTTTTGTCAAAAATGGTGATTTCTCAGTTACCTTGGAAAAGATGTATGCCTCCATTATCAAAGAGAGAGGGCCCTGCTAGACAGCACAGTTGGGGGCAGCCTAGCTTCCTGTGGGAGGGAATTCCAAAGTCTTGGAGAAGCAACAGAGAAGGCCCATGTCCCCACCAAGTTCACCTGTGAGAGTGTCAGGGCCAAGAGAAAGCCTCCTTGTCTTATCTTGAAGCCTGGGCAGGCCCATAGAGGCAAATGTGGTCTTTTAGATAGCTTGGACCCAAGCTGTTTAAGGCTTCATAAGTTAAAACCAGCACTTTGAATTGAGATGAGATGTTCAACCTTACAAAGTGGCAAAGCAGAGGTGGCAAGGCCCAAAGTATTAAGCCATCATATTTGTAGAATTAGCACAAGATTACTGTTCAAGAAAAAGCAGGTAGCAATAGCAATTATTATTTGTTTATTATCTATTTACTTCATTTATTATTTATTTCATTTTTATACCACATCATCTGGCCGAGGCCATTCTAGACAGTTTACAGCATTTATATATAACCTATCAAATACAATTTAACATAATAAAGAACAGAAATAACAAAATACGAATAGGCAGTAACTCAAAGCATAAAAATGCATTAGAGCAGGGGTGTCAAACACAAGGCCCGCGGGCCAAATCCGGCCCGCCAGACCTCGTCTGATGGCCCGCGGAGCCGACACCAGCCTTGCAGCCTCCCCCCCTTTTTTTTTCAATGGTGGTGGGGCGTTTTCCAATGCCTGCCTAAACAGCCAGGTTTATACTGACTTTTTAAATACTGTATAGCCTCAAATGGGTCAAACAAACTGCAGGGGGGAGTTCATTCCACAGCTGAGAAGCAAACCGCAAAGAATGAAATAATAAAATATGAACAGTCAGTAAATCCAAGCATAAAAATACATCAAAATAAAACATTCAAAACATTTAAAATATTTAAGATGGCAGACTTGGACAGATAGGCTGATTAGATTCAACCGAGTTTGCAGGTATGACGTTTTCCAATGCCTGCCTAAACAGCCAGGTTTATAATGACTTTTTAAATACTGTATAGCCTCAAATGGGTCAAACAAACTGCAGGTGGGAGTTCATTCCACAGCTGAGAAGCAAACCGCAAAGAATGCCTGGTTTCTCATCTTCTCCCTCCGGGCCTCTCTTCGGATTTGCATCCTCAGCCGGCCTGCTTGGGATGTTCTTGTAGGGTGGGCAGATCTTGTTGCAAGCGGCCAATCAACCGGAGATGGAAATAAGCAGACTGGTTGACAGATGCTATCTTGCATGTCCTCAGATAGCATTGGATTCAGTAGGACACCCAAAGTACAAACCTCATCCTTTGCAAGTGGCACCCCAAAATAAAGGGAGGCACCAAATCTGCAGACAGGTGGGGACAAAGGACATCTGTCATGTCCAGGTTCAGCCTTAACCTGTTGGCCCCCATCCACTCTAGTACCGCAGCCAGGCAGCGCTCAAAGGATGGGACAGCATCCTTTGCACAAAGGTGGAAGGAGAGATAGATCTGTGTGTCACCAGCAGATCGGTGACACACCACTCCGAATCTCTGGATGACCTCCCCCAGCAGCTTTGTATAGATATTAAAAAGCAACTGGGAGATGCGGCACTTTGTGGTTTTTTATATCCTGTCTTTCTCTCAATGAACTCAAGAAAGCATGCAACAGCTTAAAAAAGTATACATATGTTTAAAATCAGAGTAAGTTAGAACATTAATATTAAAATATAACTGACAGCATGCAACAGCTAAAAAAGTATACGTTTTGGAACATTAATATTAAAATATAACTGAAACTATAACCATATTAAACCTGTCACTAGTTTAAAATAAATAAAAATAAATGTATGTAAATATAAGCTAAAAATTCCACTTTCAACTTTTTCAACACTCTGGGACGCCTTAAGTCCCCTTATGGGGACAAAGGCGACTTATAAATAAGACAAACAAGCAAAGACCCGCTTCTTTATAAACGTGCTTAGAACTGTATCATGAAACATTCCGCTGAACCCTCCTAAAAATTCCCAAACACAACCAAAATTGCCAGTTATCTCTTGCTGACGGTTCGTGAAAGTGAGGAGAGATGATCTAGGGCGGCGTCACCAGCCCCACAACCACGACGCTACCCTCCTGGATCTCCCTCACGAAAAGAAAAATATGGGCAATCGGGGACGCGCGCGCGCGCGCGCTGCAAAGCGACGGCGCGGGCGGGAACGAGCACGCACGAGCGGGCCGCGGCCCTGACGACCTGCCTGCTTTTGACTTCGGTCTCTCGCTGTCGACAATGGCGGCGGCGGCGGCGGCCTCTGCGCAGCGGACGGATCCTGCCGGAGACTGGCAGGACTTTTCGGGCTTTCAGCCTTCGCCTGAGGACAATGGTTGTCCGGCGGCGGCGGCGGCGTCTGGAGAGGGGGGTGCCTGGGACGATGGGGGCGACGGCGGCAACAACGACCTGGGAGCGAAGCTGCCGCTCTGCTTTCAGAGCCCGCAGCTGCTCCTTCAGAATTGCGGCGATGGAGAAGCCCGGGTCCCGCCGCGGCCCCTGAGCGAGCAGAGCGTCCTACACGAGGATGAGTGAGTGGCTTGGCCGGAGGTTGGGAAGCAAGTAGCGGGCCAGAAGAGAGGAGGGATGCCGGAGCCCTTCCTTGGGCGGCGGCAATGCTTTTTCCCCCCTCCTCCCCGCCCCGGTCTCTGTGCCGGCGCCCCTCTTCCAAGGGGCGTCCCTGAGGGGGCTTCTCGGAACGGTGAAGCCCTTGTGAAGCCCTGGAGGGCTGGCCGGGGACTCCAGGGTCCCTCCACCTCTCGGGCAAGCAGAGAAGGGGGATGATGGGCGAATGGCAGGGCACAGCAGCCCTCAAGGACACTGAAGAAAGCACCTTCTCTCACCCTCCACCTCTGGCCTATCTGGTTCTGAAGCGGGCTTTCTTCGGGGGGGGCGGGGGGACTTCCAAGGGCGACAGGTAGGGCTTTTTATCCGGACCAGGTCGGACGTCGCAAAACAAAGAGTAGAATCCAATGGCCTGGGCTCTTTTGCTAAAGCAGGAAGTTCGGGAGCACTTTCTGCCATGTTATCATGGCTAGAACTGAACTTTAAAACTCCTGGTTGCATCTGGACTGAGCAGTGGGCGTGCGATCTCTGCACAGCTGGTCTCCAGTTTTATTTTTCTTCGGGGGGGGTTCCCACTTGGCTGTGGAAGTGAACCTCATGTCTTTATTTCTCTTATATTTAAGGGTAGCTCCTTACAGAAACTCATGGTCCCAAAAGACCCGTTTGACTGTGCAATCCAAGCCGTGTTTGCTTAGAAATAAATTTCGCTTATTTGGTGTCACTTACTCCCAAGAAAGCATACAGAATATTACCACTCAAGGCATGAGAAGCTTTCATAGAGAACCAACTCCTAAATATGTTTGAGAATATATTTGTTCAGTACTCTTTGGCTATAAGGTTTAGGTTTACATTCTTAACCTAGTTCTTTTTTATGTTATTTAGTTCTTCACAAGCACAGGAAAATCATAAGAACTGAATTGTGCTGCGCTACAATCACTTCTTTTCCATGCAATAAACGCTATTTACCGTATATTCCAGTTTTCCTCCAATGATTACAACTTGGTATACATGGCTCTCTTTCTTGCATTTGATGCTGACCATAACTCTGTGAAGCAGTTTAGCCTGAAACTCTTAATAGCCTAGGGTTATCTGCTGGCTTTCACAGTTAATGGGGATTTGATCCTAGATGTTTAAACCTGACTTCTTGTTGAATGCTCTAACTACATTTCGTTGGTTCTTGTAAGGTCTTTGGGATACATCAGAACTACTACTGTAGTTCTTCAAGAAATATTTTTGGGAGCAATCATAATCATAAGTCTGATTATCAGGTGCCAGTTATTTCCATCTAGTGAATTTCCCAGAGAATTGCTCACTATCATATACAAAAAACTGAACTAGATATATTTATGGTCAAGTGTGGCGAGGCAATTCTTACCTTTTTTGTTTGTTTGTTTGTTTTTTGCACCATTCTTTGATATAGAAAAAGTGGAGATTGTTTGACCTGCACAGTCAGGCAATAGAAATGATAATGCGTGTTACAGAAAATCTAGGCCTCATTAGAATGGTTCAGTGCATTTTGTGATGTGTGTTGGGGAAGCAAGGGATATATAGATCACTGTTTTTAGTATAAAATTACATCTGGGGTTGGATTTTTGTATCTATTTCTTTGGAGCCACTTTGGGATTCACCAGTGTATTTTGACAGCCACAGTGGTTTTTGGTTGATTTGTCAGATTTAGGATATTAGTTGTTGTACATGATGAAGGCTGAAGTTTTGTTTCATTATATATTGTCAGGATATGGAATGCTCTGACTGACAATTATGGCAATGTATTGCCAGTTGACTGGAAGTCTTCCCACACGAGAACACTGCACTTGCCGACACTGAATCTTTCTGAGAAGGGAGTAAGTACAGACCACATTTTATCTTGACTAGAATGTTGCAACATCTGCCACTTAAATCATTTGCATAGAATTCTTGCTATTATGTTTTTGTTATGAGTTTGCTTCTTTTAATAGATACTGATATTGCTGTGTCCAGTAGATGAATATTAATGCGTTTAATAATCCACTGTGTTTATTTTACTGCTACATCCTCCAATTGCAGTGCTGTTTAATATCTATATGCAGCTGCTAGATAAGGTCACCAGGAGGTTTGAAGTGGGGTGTCATCAGTATGCAGATGACACCACACTCTGTTTTTCCTTATCATCAGAGGCAGGTGAGGCTGTGCAAGTGTTGATCTGTTCTTTGAATGCTGTAATGGAGTGGATGAGAGCTGGTCAACTGAAGTTTAATTCTGACAAGATGGAGACTCTGTGGCTTGGTGGTCCCCCTATCAGGGAGTTGGATAGATCCCCTGGAGGATGGGGTATGTAGCTTGGAGGCATTCCCAGATCTGTCTGTGTCACTGAAGACCCAGGTGATTTCAGTGGCTCAGAGTACCTGTGCACAACTTGTAGCTGGCCTGAGCAGAAGGTTTATTGGGCAGGGGTAATTTGGCCACATGACTTCATGCACTAGTAACTTTCTGCTTAGGTTCCTTCAGTACAATCTTCTAAATACATTTGGTATACAGTTATATGCAGTTCTCTTTAAATTACCAGGATTTACATGCATATAATAAATAACAGAATTGCCTCTTCTTTCCATTATTCCATATTTTACCTGTTGGGATCTAATAAGAGAATGAGAACACTATTTTGTTACAATCCAAGTTTGTGATACTGTATATCAATTCTGAGCAGGCCTCTTTATGGTGAAATAATAAAGAACTTCACTTTTTTCATATTGTGCTAAAGACAGATTTATCTGACAATATATCTGCTAGTTGCTAGAATTAGAACAAGTAGGCAGTGGTGGACTATAGAGAGCCAACCTTCGTCTTTATGAGGCCCCAGGCACAGAAGGGTTCCAGTTCCAGTTTAGCTGAAGATGAGAATAGCCGGTCTTCCCATAAAAGTTTACTCTATTGATTTGGAAAACTAAAATGGTTAGATGAGGAAAGGCTGCTATATTTTTAAAAGAAGTTAAAAATCACCCATGCACATTAGCCTCATTTGATGTGAATTGTGGATTAGTGTTATGTAAAAAAGGCTTAGGTTTGTGATTATTTTATTATTATAAAATAAAATATGTTTTTCCTCTATAGTTCACTGAATATCTAAGTATGTTTTAATCTGGATTACAAAATGATAAATTATTGTAGGAGAGTATCACTTTGATGACCAAGTGCCTTTAATTCACATGTGTGGGTGGATGTAAAGGCTGAAGGCATTCAAGGATCACAGGAGTTGGAAGGAGTTTTATGTTCCACCCCATTCTGAGGGTTGTCAGTGATTTTTAGGATGAAAGTTTTAAGAGTGGAATCTTATGGATGACTACTCAGTTATAAGTCCTGTTAACTTCAGTGAAACTTCAGGATAATTGGGTTTAGCATTGTAGCCTTTGATTCAAAATAAACTCATTCTTTTTTAAACCATTTTATTCATATCTAAACATACAAACTTAAAAACATTAACAATCTGATAATTAACAAAACAAACAGAAAAAAAACAGCTAAGCATCCATCCTTCCCCTATGGATCAGAGATTTCACCATAATCTGGTCCTCGGAATATCTTCAAGGGGATTCCAGTGAGCACTGGTTTGCTATTTTCCCCTAAGTTCCTGTCTTTTTCTGGGCCCAGTTATATATCAGCCTTTTGCTTTACAAAGTCTCTTGGTTGATCCCATAGTGCCTCTGAAAGCATGTCTAGTTCTCCAATGTCCAATACAGTGGGGTCTTGACTTGAGAACTTAATCTGTATTGGAAGGCGGTTCTCAAGTCAAAAAGTCTGTAGGTCAAGTCTCCATTGACCTACAGTGCATTGAAAACCGATTAATCCCATAACAGGCCGTTTTTGTTCCATTTTGGTTTTTTTCTGGTCTGTAAGTCAATTCTCAGGCTGCAAGTCAAACCTAAATTTTGCAGCCAGAGAAGTCTGTAACTCAAAAAGTCTGTAAGTCAAGCTGTCTGTAAGTCAAGGGTCCACTGTAGCTTCTTTAATAACTCAACCATCATTGGTGTCTCTACATTCTTCCATCTCTGGGGCCAGAGTAACCTGGCTGCTGTGAATATATACAGTAGACTATATTTTATTTTATTCTCAATAATTTCTGGCATTATATTCAATAATATCATTTCAGGTTTAAAACTTAATTTTCAATGATTCTCTTTTCACATCTTTGTCCATTCATCAATATCAATATTGTACCCAAAATGTTGTGCCCATTTTACCATCACCTCCTTCACCCTCTCATCCTCCAAGTCGGTCCCCCTTGACATTTAGTCCAGTCATGTCTGACTCTAGGGTTCGATGCTCATCCCCGTCTCCAAGCTGTAGAGCCAGCGTTTGTCTGTAGACAGTTTCCGTGGTCACGTGGCCAGCATGACTAGACACGGAACGCTGTTACATTCCCACCGAGGTGGTACCTATTTATCTACTTGCATTTACATGCTTTCGAACTGCTAGGTTGGCAGGAGCTGGGACAAGTGACGGGAGCTCGCCCCGTTGCATGGATTCAGTCTTACAACTGCTGGTCTTCTGACCTTGCAGCACCGAGGCTTCTGCAGTTTAACCTGCAGTGCCACCACGTCCCCTTGATAATAAGTATGTATACATTTTTAATTATTTTCTCATTAGTGTAAATCCATAATTCATCAACCTGGACTTTCTCCTCAAAAAAGCCTATAGTTTTGTCCTTTATATCTCAGTTGTAATTTCAACATTGACCTCCAATCTGTAGCTAGACCCAGTTTCTCTAGATCTTGTTTTATCTTTTATATTCTGATCTTTAGTTAATAAGTCTTTATATGTGAGTAACGCTCCCTTCTGATTCAATATTTTCAAAGTGAATGTTTCTATTGCTGCTACCCATATTGGAATTTTCTTGTAGGTTTCTGTTTGAAATTTTTGCCATACTAAGCAGAGTGCATTCCTCAGAATATATTCTGCAAAATGTGATTGTTCTTTGTATTTCCCATACCACACATATGCATGCCAACCCATTTTTAGATCATGACCCTCCAATTTCAATAATCTTTGATTTTCTAGTGTTATCCATTCTTTTAACCAGATCATGGCACATGCCTTATAATATAACAACCAATTTGGTAGTCCTGAACCACCTCTTTCTTTTAAATTTTGTAATAGTCTAAGTTTTATTTTTGGTTTTTTGGCCTTCCATACAAATTTTGAAGTCAGGCTGTCCAGGTCCTTGAAGTATTTATAATTTAATAAAATTGGTAAATTTTTAAATAAAAATAACAGTTTGGGTAATATCATCATCTTTATTGTTGAGATTCTTCCCATCATAGAGGTTTGTAGCTTATTGCATTCTTCGAGGTATTTCTGAATTTCCTTCTGTGTTGTAAGATAATTTTATTTCATCAGATTACTTGGTTTTTTTGTAATGATAACTCCTAGATATTTCACTTTCTGTACCTCCTCAAAATTAGTTTTCATTGCCAGTCTTTCCACGTCTTTCCTTATGTTTTAGTCATGAATTTTGTTTTTTGATAGTTTATTTTAAGACCTGCAACAGCTCCAAATTCTTCTATAGTTCTCTCTAATTCTTCCAAACTGTCCAGAGGGTTTTCTAGTATTATTGCTAAACCATCAGCATATGCTTGCAGCTTAAATTATTCTCCCCTGATTCTGAGACCCTTAATTCCAGCATTCCCTCTTATTTGTCTGTTTAGAATTTCTAATGTTAAAATAAATAATAATGGAGAAAGTGGGCAACCCTGCCTTGTTCAGGACTGAGGGTTGGGGATCTCTAAATAAATAATAACGGAGAAAGTGGGCAACCTGCCTTGTGCAGGACTGAGGGTTGGGGATCTCTGGTGTAGTGGATAGAGTGATGGACTATTCAATTTGAATATTTTCAGTTACTTGACCACTGATTTTAATCTTGGCCTTCTGTTTAGTGTATATCGCTTTAATTGTTTGTAGAAAAGTTCCTTCTGCTCCCATCTTCTTTAATTGTAGCAACATAAACTCCCAATCAACATTATCGAAGACCTTTTCAGCATCTAAAAAGATTGACATCATTTGCTTTTCTGGATGCATTTCATAATATTCCAAAATGTTTATTATTGATCTTATATTTGACGATAGTTTCCTTTTTGGGATGAAACCTGTTTGTGTATTAGCTGTTATAGATATATATTCTTTCCAGTACCAGAGACAGTATTCCTGTTTGTGTCAACTTCTGGGGAGCACAAGCAAAAGACTTCAGCAACAGTCATGTCCTGCTTGATGACTTTCTATAGATCTTAGTTGCACACTGTGTCAACAGAACTCTAGACTGGATAGGCCTGATATAGTGTTTCTCTTCATTTGTCCTGCTTTCATACTAGCTATCAACAAATATCCTCTGATATCCACACAGCCTTTTATAAATAATCAGATTTCAGAAGCATTGTGCAGAGTTCTGCAAAAACTGATTCACTGTTCTGTTTTTTTAGTTGTCATGCAAATGTATGATAGTATTCGTCTTTTGATCCCCCCCTCCAATAAAGCAGCTTGTGTGCCTTCATTTTACATTTGTTAGGCTGCTGTGTCATCAGGGCTCTCATATTTTATAATGGGCGCTTGTTAGGTTGTTCTTGGAGATCTCCATCATCATGGAACTTCCTTCCTGTACACATATACTAAAACTTTAGCAGAAGTAGTTTTATTTTTCTGTGTGAGGAATCCAAAGGAATCCCGAGGCATTTGCTTTTTATCGATGAATATGTATAAACTACTTCTCTGGATCTGCTTGTTAGTTTATGTGTGTGTGTCAAACCCATACATGAACACAAGATTGTAGAGAAAACAGATGAATGGACCTATTTACAAAAATGTCTCCTGAAGAACATTTGAATTTAATATTAGGTTTTCAGCATTTTCTTTTATTGTATTGCTATTCTACGCAAAAGCTGTTCAGTGCGTAGAGAATATGTTTCATAGGAATTGTATACATTTGAAGAATAATAATATTTTTGTGGGTTTGAAGAATACAGTTATTTGCTGTACAGGTAGGGTACGTTTATTTATTTTCTAAATTTATATGATTTATCCTTAGTGATTAAAAAAAACTTGTACATATTCTTGTATGGTTCCAGTAGACTAGGAGGTTTTATCTTTTTATTTTTAAATACACTGCCTATTTAAAAATTTCCCCTTTTAAAGATAAAATTTGGTTTTATATTGTTTTCTGTTTCCTTTTGCTACATAGGTCAATGACAATTTGAACCTTGACTTATCAGATGATGAAGAGCTAAGAGAGCAACTAGACATGCATTCTATCATAGTTTCCTGCATCAATGAAGAACCACTTCTCACAGCTGAACAGGTAAAGTGCATTGCAGTTTTTATACAGCATTTTAGCATTAGGTTTTTACATCTCTTCAATGATAGAAATGCTAAATATCCTTGGAAACAAAGTATTTCACAAATACAGGGATTTAACAAATAATTTAAATGAAGCAAACTCCTTCTGTTCTATTTGTATTTCTGCACTAGAGCATTCAAGTCATTTTCCATATTTTATCTGGATAGCAATAAAGAAAAATGCAAAAATGGATTTGATCTTGAAGTAAAATTATATGGTAAGACATAATTTACTAGTAAAATAGAGGTAGAATCTCTAGAACAGAAATCTGCTTTGATGAATTACAGGAATTGGCTTACTATAGATTTGTTCCCCCCAGCCATGACTTCTTAAACATTCTCATACAACAGCAATAAGAGATTTTATTTTTCCTAATTGCTATTAATCATAGAAGAAGTACATCTGGAAGAGTGTTCCTGAAAAGTCAGAACAATATTAAGTGGGCTTACTTCTTTCTTTTATAATCTAAAAGCCCTATCTTAATATAAACAACACTGGAATTAGGCCTAACATTCCCTTTGCAAGAGATACGTATATACGTCACCCATCCATTCTTATGATTAGGCAGTTTGGTGTTTGGTAGAATAATCACAAATATACTGCCTTCTAAGAAAAAAAAGAGCTAAAAATTACAAAAGCAGGATCCTGTCATATATTCTCAATAGGCTTCTTTGTGGGGAGGGGGACTTTATATCCACTATATTTTTGCCAATACAAATAATGGTTTTTATGAATTAAAACCAGCACTTTAAGTGATAGCTAGACAGCTGGTATTTTTATATTTCTCCTGAATAGCAGACGAGCTCCTGTATCCTATTTCAAATGAGAAGTCCCTAAATAGTGTATAATTGCAACATCTAAAGAAATGAATGATTGAGATATGTTCCATATGTGATCTATTAACCATTGCTATAATAATGCAGTTTTATTTTGATTTACATGTTTTTAATATGAAGGTGTAAATCGGATTTCAGATACAATTGCCTAGTGTTTTATATTGAATAGAAACAATGAAAGTTATGTGTACTTTTTGAAGGCTTCATCATAATTTTCTGTTATCCAGTCTTCCATAGTTTTGTGTATGTGTGTAACTTTGTGTGTGTACATTTTAAAAGGTAATTGAAGAAATAGAGGAAATGATGCAGGAATCTCCAGATCCAGATGATGATGAAACACCAACTCAGTCAGACCGCTTATCCTTACTATCACAGGAAATTCAAACACTTAAGAGATCCAGTGCAAATCATAATTATGAAGAGAGTAAGGGACACTTTTTTGTATCTTGTTTTTTATTTAAACATAAAAAATCTTGCGAAACAACTTATTGCATATAATATTATAGTATTATTATATGACGGTTGTACCTAAGGTAGTGTACCTGGAAAAGCCAGGACATGAAAAACTAAGCCACATATTGGAGATGAACAAAACAATTCTTTCTCATCTTTCAAACTATAACATCTTCCTGAGCAGTTCTGAGAAATTTGTTGGATTTTTTAACCTTTTTTTAAAAAACTACCTGGTTCCTAATAATTCAGTGTTGTGTAGTGCAGGGATCCCTAACCTTTTTCACCTCGTGGACCAGCTGGGGAAGGTGGGGCATCTTGCATGAACGAGTACGCACGCATGCGCAAACTATGATGCAGCACTTGTGCGCATGTGCAAACAGCGACGCAGCGTGCATTCGGGCATTCAGGTACATACGCAAACAGTGGCGCTCACATGGGCATGCACGCATTCTCAAATCAGCTGTGTGTGGGTGAGTTCATGCGGGGGGGAGGAGATCTGTCTCCGCAGCCTGGTGCGGCTCAGGTCATGGACTGGCACCAGGCCGCGGACTGGGGGTTGGGGACCTCTGGTGTAGTGGTCAGAGTGGTGGACTAGGACTCAGAAGCCTCGACTCAAATCCATGCTCAGCTGTGGAAACTCACCAGGAGTGTGGAGCCACTCCTTAAATATTTCATTTATCTTGAAAGTCCTGTTAGGGTTGCTATAAGTCAGTTTTGTCTTGACACCACATAACAACAATACTGTAACTTGGTTCTAGAATATTTTACAGTAAGCTGAAAGCCTTGCTAGGCTTTGCAGAAACCTTGATGCCTTTGTGTGCTACAGTGGTGCCAAAAATGCAAAGAGTCGGATGGGTTGGCATGTGTATGTTTTCCTGCCACAGAATATACAGAGCTTGATAGGAAGGTCTTTAAAGCAAATGACCAAGATGCCAGTATGTTCTTGAAAGAAGTTTGAGAAGCTGACACTTTTTCAAATATTAATAAACCATTTGTTTATATAATGATAAATACCTAAAAATTGAGTAATTGGTCTTTATCGTGAATATAATGTTTGTGACCATGCAAAGGATATACAGGTTCTTACAGTTATGACAGTTGGAAAAGATGAAAAAGTTTTTCTACTGCCACAATCTCTGTTACAAGGGAAAAAACTTAAATGCTTTTCTGGGTAACATTTGAATGTGGCCTGCACGTATTAGGTTCTGTACCTTGCTCCAGTCATCTGGAAAATTAGGCAGCCTACCACTGAGGTCAGTGTATGTGTTTGCGTGTATTCGTCCGTAGTCATGCAGTGTCATATTTATGTATAAGCTAAGTAAGCTAGAGCTTGGAGTGGTGTGGTTAATATGCAGCCTGTGGACCACATGCAGCTCCCCAAGAGCCCAAATAAGGCCCTCTCAGCACCCCTGCAACTCCTTCAATTTTCAGAACTTGTCAAAAAAAATTGGCTCAGAAAAATGTTATGTTGTCTAGCAGATGTTGGGACCAAGTTTGATGGCCTCCTGATGTCCTATGCCCATAAGTAACTTGAGCTTTGGGAACTGTGGAAGCAATTTGGGCTACAATAAAACCTATTTACCTGGGAGTGAGCTTTGCTAATATAATGTATCATCCAAGAAGAATACATAGGATTGTACTGTTAAGCGATTTAGGTGTCTTGAGGTGGCATTTCTCTTCACAGAGATAGTGTGCAGAAGTTGAAGTGTGAGGAGGGTATATTCTGGGGTAAGCAAGACTCAGTCCACAAGCTTTTCATATACATCATCACATCTGAAGTATATAGCAGAAGTATACATATTGGGCCACCAGAGTCTGTGTATGGAATGTTTTTGTTAGGAATAAGAATAATGAGACTATGCTGCCAATGATATACATATATTTTACACATCATTTCTTCCTTTTTTGAAAGCAGGAGTGAAGAAATTATCTGTGACTGAATTAAATGATCTGTTGGAAGAGATTGAGACAGCCATCAAAGATTATTCTGAGGAGCTTGTACAGCAGTTGGCTCGACGGGACGAGTTGGAATTTGAGAAGGAAGTAAAGAACAGCTTCATATCTGTCCTTATAGAAGTACAAAATAAGCAAAGAGAACAAAAGGAAATTGCAAAAAAGAAAAAGAAGCTGAAAAATGGCAGTCCTCAGAATGGCAAACAAGAGAAAGGTCATATGCCTGGAACAGTAAGAACTTTGACTTTATGTTTCAATCTGTAGAAGCTGCTTTAAAAAATTTCAGCCTAAATAAGTTGCTTTCTACCTTTTCCTAACCAAAAGCTGTTTTAGTGGCCATAAATAACATTGCCTCTTGTGGCTGATAATGTTTGGATTCTCACACATTTTAAATATATATTTGAAAAATTGGGAATTTTCTTTTAAAATTAGTTCTAGTTATTAGCTCCAAGCATTCCATTAGTCAGTTACCATTATAGTTGCAATTGTAACTCTCACTTCTCAAAAGTAACTTCCATGGTTATTTTTAGGTACTTCTTAAAAAACCTGAATGCTACAAGCCACTAGTCATTGGTTCAAAATGGACTCTTCTCCTGTCCATCTCAGTTAATGGTACCATTAACTCAACACTCTTAATCATATCATATTTTTCCTGTAGTATTTAGTGAAGTCACATTTGTGAAACGCTAAAAGTAACTCAGTAGTTAGTTATATTAAAAAAATGGAATGGAATTAATCCTTTAAATTATAATGTATTATAATACAATATACTTCTTTCATTGCTGAAGAAATGCATCATTTATGAATAGCTAGTGGTTTGTAACTAGTTAATTCTAAACTGTATTGATACTTTTACTCCTCTTTCTGATTGTCAGTGTAGTACACTAAATATTTGTATATTTTGAGGCTTTTTCTATAGATAGAATCTCTGTGAACAACTACTTCCTTTGTTCTTATAGATGCTGTTTTACCTGCTTGTGCGACACTTAAGGGATAATTGACTACATAAATTCAAAAGCATTGAAAACCTACTGTCCAAAATCCGGAATGCTAATGAAGAAATGTAGTTTCCATTTTGATACTTACACACTTAATAAAAAAATTTCGCTAAGGCCACACCCACACTGTAGTAGCAGCTTAGCTATATAGATACAGAATTGTTGAACAATTTAAATAACTGTTATAGCATACATTTTCTCATTATAGGCCTTTTGAGGTTATCCCTGCACCCTTCACCTGTTCATTAGCTTTCTTTTCTTCTACAGTGGTGCCTCGCTAGACGATGATAATCCGTTCCACTGAAATCGCTGTTTAGCAAAATCATTGTCTAGCGAAAAGCATTTCTCCATTGGAATGCTTGAAACCTGTTTAATGCGTTCCAATGGGGGAAAATCGTCGTTGTCTAGCGAAGATCGACCATAGGAAAGTCGCTTTGTGAACTGCCGATCAGCTGTTTAAATCGCTGTCTTGCGAAGCTTAGGTCCCGAAAACACCTGTTTGCGAGTGCGGAGGGAGCTGTCAAAATCGTTGTCTAGTGAAAATCGGGTTGTGAAGCAGGGACCAAACATTGTCCAGCGAAATTCCCCCATAGGAATCACTCTATGGCGAATCGCTATAGCGATCGTAAAAAACCAATGTCTAGCAAAAAAACTGTCATGCGGGGTAACTGTACTCTTAATGGCCTCTGCTTCTTTATCTCAGCTATTTGTCTCTTCTGCCTGCACAGAGTTATTAGGCAGGCTGCACAATAAAAAGACCAGTGCCAAAAAAGTAGGTAATAATAGTTTAAAACCCTGATAGAAAACAAGGGTTTTTCCTGCTGCCTGAATAGTACCATAGTAGGCATCAAGTGTGTGCTTCAAGGAGGAAGCTCTATAAGTTGCATGCTGCAGCTGAGAAAACTATCTCCATGGTTGTCAGTCATATAATTTCTGGATTATAAGGATTTCTAGCTTCAGTAGGAGATACTAACATCTGGGGAATATCATCAAGAAAGTTGTTCAAAGTATGTTGGGCCATGGTTATGATTTTGGGACACAACCAGCTCAGACTTCTAGTGATAAATTCAGCATGCTCCAAAATGGATTGTGGTGATTTTGTTCAGTCTACTGATATTTGAATAAAGCTGGATAATAATGGCACAATGTTGTTAAGTTCCAATAATTTGAATAGTCTACTCTAGTTGTGATTAATATTAGATTTAGCTTTTACACAACAGTAAGTTCTATTGAATGCAGGTAGCTTCTGAGTAGATACAGATAAAAGTGGACTGCACTTATAGAATGATAACATTGTAGAAGTGGAAAGGATTCTGAGTGTGATTGTGTCCAACCCTCTACTGAAGTAGAAAATCCACAGCTAAAGTGTACCTGCCAGATGGCCATTGAACCTCCCGTTAAAAACCTCCAGTGAGGGTGAGTTCTCCATCCTCTGAGGTAATGAACTGCATTCTCAAACAATTCCTATTATCAGGAAGTTCTTCCTAATGTTTATTTATAAACTCTCTTGTAATTTGAATCCATTGGTTAAGGTCCTACCCTCTGTAACTGCAGAAAGCAAGCTTGTTCTACATGATAACCGTTAAAAAATAGAAATAACTATCACACCACCTCTCAGCCTTTGGTTCTGAAGATTAAATATATCGCTCTCTCTCAATTATTTCTCACAGGAATTAGTTTCCAGTCTTTTACCATCCTAGTTACTCTTCTGCAGACATGTTACATCTTGTCAATCTCCTTCTTAAACTGTGGTACCCAGAACTGAACACAGTATTCTAAGTAAGGTTTGATCAGGCCAGAATAGAGTGATTTTATTACTTCCCTGGATTTGAGTGTTACATTTTGTTGAGGTACAGTAGTCTAGTCTTGCTTTAGATTTTGTTGTTGTTATTTGCTGCTGCATCATGCTCTGTATTTAGCTTGCAGTCTGTTAAGACCCTTGTTTCTGTTTCATGCCTGTTGGACCAGGCAGGATTTATATCAAGTTACCATGTATTAAAAAACAAAAACAAGTAGAAGAATGAACAATTTCCTAGCTAAAAGTATTTTACAAATAAATAATGTAGTAGAAAATAGAGTGTGTTTTTGGCGGTAAATTAATAAATAACAGCACTGATAAATTCTTGCATTGCTTGGGAGTTTGTTTCGCTATGTTAGGGAAAAGGAAAGTATCTACTAAGTGACTAAAGTTAACAGTCAGTCGGTGCTAGGGGAGAAGTGTTCTCATTGTCAAGAGAGTATATATAATTTATTTTATTTTGAGTGTTACATTTTGTTGAGGTACAGTAGTCTAGTCTTGCTTTAGATTTTGTTGTTGTTATTTGCTGCTGCATCATGCTCTGTATTTAGCTTGCAGTCTGTTAAGACCCTTGTTTCTGTTTCATGCCTGTTGGACCAGGCAGGATTTATATCAAGTTACCATGTATTAAAAAACAAAAACAAGTAGAAGAATGAACAATTTCCTAGCTAAAAGTATTTTACAAATAAATAATGTAGTAGAAAATAGAGTGTGTTTTTGGCGGTAAATTAATAAATAACAGCACTGATAAATTCTTGCATTGCTTGGGAGTTTGTTTCGCTATGTTAGGGAAAAGGAAAGTATCTACTAAGTGACTAAAGTTAACAGTCAGTCGGTGCTAGGGGAGAAGTGTTCTCATTGTCAAGAGAGTATATATTATTTATTTATTTTATTTTATTTTATTTTATTTTATTTTATTTATTTATTTATATCCCATGCATCTTGACCGAAGTCTATATTGCCAGATCATCAAGGAATTTGCTAGTTGAACATAAATCTCTCTTTATGCTTCTTGGAAATATGATTTATTTTTAACAAAGTGTATGTATTTTATAGTATTATCAAAGTAAGAAAAGTGTTTGTAAGCCCAGGTGGCTATCAGTAAGAGAAAGGTTCTGAATTTGCTTTGGGTCCAGGACTGGAATTACACACTTTCTTCAAATCAATGTCAATGAGAAGTGACTTTCATTACTGCACATAACGTATGCCTTACTGTGCTTTAATAGAGCATGCATTGGGCACCATTTAAAAACACAGTAAGGCTTCAGCCGAGTAAGAGAAACCTTCCTCTTCCACAGGCATTGCTTGTCTGATTGGAGACTGAGAGTGGCAGAGGCCATGGAATGCAGTAGCAGGAGCATCTTGGAGAGCCATGGAGACCCCTGCTGCCAGTGCTACCAACATGCACTACCTGGCCACTGCTGTCCAGCCATCCACTGGGGCCTACTGGATAAACAAGCCCTGCAGTGGAATAATAGCTTGCTCCATGTGCAGTGAAAACAGAGCCTCTGGGGCTGAATCAGTAGATGTAGAGGTGGCTGTAAGCTTTGGCAGCTTTAGACAAATTAGACAAGAGTCCTTGCTATCAGTGGCTGCCAATCACCCTTACCGTATAGTTATCACAGGCAGTATGACTCCATATACCAATTGATGGGGACAATGAGTGGGGTTCTCTTGTGCTCACGATATTGTATGGGGGCATCCTGTGGGTATGTGGTTGGCCGCAAAGGGAACAAAATGTCGGAAGAAAGAGGTTTTTGATTGCATCCATTGGTGCTTTTCTTGTGTTAAACAACAACACAGTGCCAATACTTACTTACTTACTTACTTACTTACTTACTTACTTACTTACTTACTTACTTACTTACTTACTTACTTACTTACTTACTTACTTACTATAAATACCAGAATTTATTAATATTGGGATATTTAAAAGATTGTTGAGCTGGTTGCTAGGTGACATTGTTCTGCAAATCATTTTCATTTGTGTCAGAACCAATCCAGTAGTGCTTCCAGAGTGGAAGCATCAATCAACAGGGCGCTATCATCGGCCAGGAAATGCTAAAATTTGTTCACAAGCCTCATATTCTTCCAGGAAGCCCCTTCTGTATGCCCATCACAGATGAATTATTAAGGAAAAAGTTGTTTTAGTTTTTGTGATATCAGCATGAATCTTGAATCTCAGGAAGGTAATTCTGAGTGTTAGACTGGGAGGGTATACCTTGTCCAAACCCTGCAAGTGGTTGTGTATTTGCTGATTACAAGGGTGTCCTTGGACATGATAGTGTTGGTTGATGGATTAAAATTTTATGGAATAGTCTTCAGAAAAGAGATCAATATGCGTTTGCAAAAGAGTGGACAAGCTTTGGGTGTCCATGAGGTCAGGAGCTGCATGTGGTCTGCCCTCATGAGTGGACCTGGCAGGTCTGCTCAAAAGATACAGTACAGCTTACCCTATGTCCTGATATTGATACAGAACATTTTCTCCACCATTAGCAGCCATTTTTGTGAAATGGGGCAATGAAATTAAAATTGCAACACAATTGGGGCATTGCGTAAGTTGCAACAGAAATCTTTCAGATTTAGCCTTGTGTTTCTTGTAATTCTGCCCAAGATAGTGTAAAGGAGCAAAAGCCCCATACAGTAACTTCCTAAATATTTTGGTATATGGGTGTGTCAAATTGTAACATGTTTAAATGTTTGTTATCCACATTAAAAGATGTTGATTCACAAACCAGAGGGGTTTTTAAGATACCTGTATCTGACATAATTTATGCAGAAAATACTTTGCAGTGCCCTTGCTTTAATTGTATTGCTCATTCCTAGGCTCTAGTAAATTTCTATTGGTAAAGAACAAATTGCCCTAAAAGTAAATCTTCCTCTGCTTAAACTGCAGTTGTGTTCATTCTAACAGCTTGTTTCTGTCATTTATCTCGCTTGCATCCTCAGTAAGTCCTAACTAATAGCCTTTAAATTTTTCTGTTTTCCCCCTCCTTTTTCTTGCCATATTCTTGCTCCCTTTAGCGCTTCAGCATGGAAGGAATATCAAATGTCATTCAGAATGGCTTCCGTCAAACGTTTGGAAACTCAGGTGGAGAAAAACAGGTGCTGGGCTATCCTCTAACTTTGTTTTCTTTTTCTGTCCTGTCTGTCCTTTTGTATAAATCATGGTCTTAACATTTGGCAGTTGTAGGATGTCAAGACTTCAGGCAATCACAGTGAATGAAACAGATATTGGCATGGTTTCTTACATTTTCTCTGCCTTCAAGGTTTTTTCCCCTTTAGTAGTTAAAGAGCAGGCAAGCCTTGATACATACAGAAAAATAGATTAAATGAACACCTGCCCACCCCAAATTCATTTAACTTCTGAGAATAAAACATAGCCATCAGTGTAATAGTACTTGGAATGAACTGCAGATGTAAGAAAGCAGCAAGAGAAGGTCATGCCAGTTTAAATATTTCAGTCTGGAAAAGGAGAAATGCATAACAACAGTATATATTAAATAAGTGTGACATCTCCTAAAATGTTAAAAGGCTATTCTATTGACAGAATAGTATGCTCAAAATATTATGTATTTCTCTTAGACTATCTTTCATATTTTAAGCAGACATCTCTGTGTACTTCATAAGCCAAAAGTAATGTCTGTGTAATATATCAACATCTTTTGGGAAATACATAACAGTGCTGATACAGAATACATAATTTTTAAAACTTTTCTCTGTAACAGAGTACACAACAGATAAGTGGTTGATACCATAATTTACAGGTGATTTGCCAACCTGTAGAATAGCATCTTAACCTAGACAGCATCTTAAAAAGCAGAGAATCACCTTGCCGACAACGGCTATGGTTTTTCCATAACGATGTATGGAAGTGAGAGCTAGACCATAAAGAAGGCTGACCGCGGAAGAATTGATGCTTTTGAATTGTGGTGCTGGAGGAGACTCTTGAGAGTCCCCTGGACTGCAAAGAGATAAAACCTATCCATTTTGAAGGAAATCAACCCTGAGTGCTCACTGGAAGGACAGATTCTGAAGCTGAGGTTTCAATACTTTGGCCATCTCATGAGAAGAGAAATCTCCCTGGAAAAGACCCTGATGTTGGGAAAGAGTGAAAGCAAGAGGAGAAGGGGACGACAGGGGACAAGACGGTTGGACAGTGTCATCGAAACTACCAACATGAATTTGAGCCAACTCCAGGAGGCAGTGAAAGACAGGAGGGCCTGGCGTGCTCTGGTCCATCGGGCCACAAAGAGGCGGACATGACTTAATGACTAAACAACAACAAAAGAATATCATCAAACAGGAGTATGTGTAGATTGATGATCAGTAACTGACACTAATGACACATAAATGCCATCTTGTTATTTTTGTATGTGTATGATTTCTATTGCTGTTCATAAACAGCTGCCCTTGCTTTAGATTTACAGGTAGTGTGTGCGTATTTTATGTGTAGCAAATTATTTAAAAGACAGAAAAATGCTTTTTTTTCCAATTAAACACACTCATATTTTTCAAATTTGTGATAGAATCTGTAATTATATATTTGTATGTACGTAGGTGCCATACTGTATGTAAATACCAAAAAGCAGTACTGAGCTAGATGGACTAATAATGTACAAAGCAGCTTTGATGTATCTGTTTATGGATTGGAGGTTACGTGTTTTTAATTATGTTGAAGCCATTGGGAAGCTTCTCATTGCTGGTTAGCAGCACTAATAGTGTAAATGTTAGAGTGAGGAAAGTTATGTAAGATAGTTGTTGACACAGGAGGATTTGTGGAGGATAAGCAGAGGTCTACAGATTATGTCTAAGCTTAATGGGAAAGACATTCTACTAGCTAGCAAAAATGTAGTGAAAGTACTTCTGAATAGATATAGAGTACTCTTTTTTCCACTCAAAAATTGGCATCCTGAATCCCCTCCCAAATTAAGGAGGAGACCTGATAGAGGAGATAGTATTCGCCATAAGCCTGAATCCCCTGTAGTCTTTTTCTGAAAATAAACTTTGCCCACAGTTTCAATTTTTTTGTGCTCAGGTCTCATCTTTGGGAGAAAGGATAATCTCTTTGGCTTTAAGACTTTGTCTTGAAAGAGTCCAAACCTTCGCTGGATCGAGTTTTTTTCAGAGCAATTTTATTATAGTTTTTCATTTCCTATCAGTGTCAACAACTAGATAAAAATATGTATCTTTTTCTTGGAAAAGGTGTGTTGAAGGAATAGTCAATGTCATGTGTAGCTGCAGAATAGATGAAGGGCATAGAGATGGAGGTAGAAGGAAGGACTGTAACTAGGAGAAATAAAAAGCAGGTTTGAAATGTCCCTCTGCCTTCTCCCATTATCAACCAATGGGATGTTGCTGTGTTCTTTAAAAAAATTGCTGTCTTTTTATTTTAAAAAAATAGCTTGGTAATGGAATGAAGCAACAAAAGTCTGGCAAGGAAATATTGAACAGAAATATATTTTCAGGATGCTGGGATTACAAATGTTCTGGAGCAGCTACCACTCAGTTATAGGAACCAAATAGTGTTTACAACAGAAACCAAAAGAGACTTTTGTGTGGGGGAAACAACCTTCTACTATCACTTTGTTCATATTTCAGTTTCTATTGTTTTATCACCTTCCATTCTCATTCCCCGTTTGGTCTAGAAGCTGTAAGTGGAGTGATAAGCAGAGTTGACAACAGGTTTGTTGATGCTGCACAATAACATCAAAATATCAGTAACTCAGTATAAATCTCAAGAGGCCTACACTCTGGAAATGCCCATACTTTGACTGAAAATAAAACACAGACCAAGAATGACACATTTCTAGCAAATAGAGTTAAATAGGCATTCAAAATCCTTTCAAGTTTGGTTGTGAGTTCAGGTTAGTCCAGTGATTTGGTTTTTTGGTGTACAAGGCCACCAAGTAAGTGCCAAATGTGAAAGGAAGAATCATAGCAGAAGTAAACTTCAGAAATAACTCATTTGTTTTTCTACTTCAGTTTTGTGAAATATGAATGTTTATTCAAAGTTAATATTTATTGAAAGTTACGGGAGGAATTTATGCACAAGTACTAGAAATATCTGAAAATTGTGAAGATTTAAATAGTGGTAGGTTGCCTATAAAAATTTTACTATAGAAAATATTAAGACCATCATTATTGTCACCATATAGTTCCTCCAGGTGTAATAATAAAAGGCCAAAGGAAAACGAAAATTGCCAGAGGGCTTAGGAACAGAATAGTATTCATTGCAAATTTAAAAACTTTAAAATAACTTGTCTCTTGAGTAGTTCAAGCATGTCGTGTGATAGTTTAAGTGAAATATCTACCTTCACAAATGGCTGTCCAGATAAATGGATGTGCCCACAAAGTAAAAAAATAAAGGAGTATTATGGATAGGATAGACCATTTAATTCTCTAACACATTATGCTACTGTTGCTGCTCTGTAAACCTGCTTGGGAACATGGACAGGAGGCTGGTGACTGTATAACAAAGGAGGAACACCTTTGATAGGAGGAGAAAAACTTTTTTGCCCACCCCCTTGCTCACCTATCAGGGACGTGGTGGCGCTGCGGGTTAAACCGCAGAAGCCTCTGTGCTGCAAGGCCAGAAGACCTGCAGTCCTAAGATCGAATCCACACGACGGAGTGAGCCCCTGTCACTTGTCCCAGCTCCCGCCAACCTAGTGGTTTGAAAGCATGCAAAGTGCAAAAATGCGAGTAGATAAATAGGTACGACCTTGGTGGGAAGGTAAACGGTGTTCCATGTCTAGTCACGCTGGCCATGTGACCACGGAGCATTGTCTCGCTCTATGGGTTGGAAACGGAGATGAGCAGCGCCACCTAGAGTCAGACACGACTGGACAAAATTTTCAGGGGGAACCTTTACCTTTACCTTGCTCACCTGACCAATGCCTTTGGGCCAGCCCAGTCACCTCCATGCAAGCCTGCTACTGTGGCTGCCCACCTGATCACCCCCCCAGGCAAGCCCAATCACCCCTTGATAACTCCCCACCAGCCTGATCCACCCCTTCAATTGCCCACCCCACCAGCCCAATCAATCCCATCACCAACCCCTACTCATGACTGACCTTGTTTTTGCAGGCGGCAGCATGTGCAAGAATGCACACACTGACACAAAATGTTTGGATTAGTGCTAAAGTCCACTTGACTTTAGCCTGGCTCCAAAAGAAGCTATACCTGTGCTGGTTTATTCCATCAGTGGGATCAGGCCCAAGGTTAAATAAACTAACATGAAGCAGGAGAAAAGGCTAAAGCTGGCAGTCACACCAGCAGCAGCAGCGGGAGGCACACATGGTAGCAATGGACTGGTGGGAGACTCACCAAAAGTAGCCAATCTAGGTTCCCAAAATCTGGAGCTGAACAAGGCAGAATATGATTTCACTGGTCCTAGTATCTATAGGTATACTGCTTTTTGAAGAAACTCATCATTTGGTGGCATATATTCTTTCTACAGTTCATGCAAACAGATCATTCCATAGAGTCATGCCTGTGTAGAAGTATGTACACAGAGGATATTCCTAATGGCAAGAAGCAGTGACAGCTCTTGAACTAGTTTGGGAATTCTTGTTTTGTAGGTGGTATTTGAATGATCTGCACCTCTGTGTTTGGCAGTACAGATCTAATGAATGCAAAAATAGAATTTGTTGTGAACGATCCTAGTATAGCTACCCTATGGTGCAAAAATTGTGAATGAAGCAGGTGATTTGGAACAGTTATTCTAAAAGAGAAACAAGTATGTAATATGGAAAAATATTCTTGAAATTAGCATTATTATGGACCACCAGTTTGCTTTTGCTCATGGTACACCTAAGAATCAGCTTCAGAGCATTTTGATTCATTTTAGGTGAAAATAATAGATCTGGATTGTACATAATTATATGATGTTTACTTTGAAAAGATTGTGCACTAATCATGGCCTTCATTTGACAGTACCTAACAACAGTTATTCCTTATGAGAAGAAAAGTGGACCTCCATCAGTTGAAGATCTCCAGACTTTAACAAAAAGTAAGATATTTATGAATTCTCATGTGTTTGTTCATATAATCTAGATTAATAATTGCCATATTAGCTAGATTTCTGGAGATGAAAGCCCAGCATTATTCAGTGAAATCTCTAACTCTTTTATGCATTAATATTTTCACATATATTGCCTCTGTATGCAAAGTAAACCTATATTGTTTAGCTTTAAGCAGTCAGAAGGGGCATGGGCAGAGTATCTGTTTGATTAGCCAAATGTGCACAAGCTCCTTGCCTGTCCTAGACTAACAAGAATAATTACAACTTTTACAGGCATTCATTTGTAACAGAGATAAATTGTCTCATGCATGCTCTCCTCAGCAATTGTTAGGGATGAACTGTTTAGCAAAAGTTGTGGCTGCAGTAGTGAGGCATTGACTTTCAGGTGGGCAGAAAAAGGCTGAAAAGTCACTTCACCATCATAAAGGTCCATCAAATGACACTGTATGTAGGACAAATTAATGGTGTTGTTTTCCCACAGGCTTGTTGAAACTTGATCCCTGACCCAGTAATAGACTTTCCGACTCTTTCCCTGCTAACTGTCATGTGGCAGACGTCAAAGCATTTATTGGACTTTCAGCTGTTGAACCATGAATATTATTCTAATAGAAAACAGTAGATAGTTTTGTATGACATCTGTGCATGTAAAAGTTTGGGGCGTGATCTTCTCATAAACGTTGCATGTTATTTCACTCTGCATGTGAGGTTTTAATTGTGAAATTAATTCTTTCTTTATAAATGTACTAATGAGAAAATTGGACAACTGTAGCATTCTCAAACAAAACAGCCTCTTAGGAAAAATCTGGTTGCTACATATATAAAAGTAGAATTTGTCAATAATAATACTCATAATAATCAAGGTATTTTTTTAGTGGTTCAGACATTAGAAGCCAATATAAAGCACTAAACACCAGTAGTTTGTAGAGATCTCTATGTTTGGTTTGAGTCAGCTAGCTGCTTAGAGTTGTAGAATTATAGTATGTTAAACTTTTTGGAATTAATGCAAAATCCAATCTAGAATTTCAAGCTTTTGGTCAAGCTTTTTGGATTTTACAGATTCTTAAACACCCTGCCTCCCGATTTTTAATCCATGCACCTTTTCCTAATGCTTAGAACAGTTTCCCAAGTACAGTATACCTAGTTTTCCTGTCAAATAGAAGCTTTTCTGTATTAAAAGAAAGGATGTTATAGCAGTACCATGGATTTAAATGCTTCTAGGCATGAATGTTCATTACATTCCAGGAATTCTTTCTTGTAAAAACCCCTTCCATCTTTCAAGAAACCAAAGTGAATCATGGCAGTATTACAGTGGAATGTTATGCATATTGTTATAAGCAAACATTTCATTTTTCTTATTCTTTATAAAATAGTTACAAATTAATTATAATTCTTGATCTGAATGCTTGTTTTTTCAAACCGAGGTTTCTTCATGAGGAGAAATGTATTTATTTATTTACTTACTTGCTTGCTTGCTTGCTTGCTTGCTTACTTACCACCCATCTGGCAGCCAATGCCACTCTTGATAAACTTAGCTTGAATATGTCGCATTTCCTATCATAGAAAACAAATCTAGGAAATTCTTAGACTTTATTTATTTATTTATTTATTTGCTTGCTTGCTTGCTTGCTTGCTTGCTTTATATACCACCCCATTATTGCAATGCACTATTCTGGACAGTTTGCAACAAGTAAAATAACCAGACCTATAACAGTAAACATGTAAAAACAATAAAAAGCATAAAACCATAAAGAACACCAATGGTACAAGGCACATTATCTCTATGACAGTGAAGATAGAGGCATAACATCAGGCATTGCTGTTGTGGAAGGCCTTCCTGGAAATAAGTGTTTGAAGGTGCCTTCTCAGCGCTAACAAGGAGGGGGCCAGGCATGGCTCCACCAGGAGCTGGTTCCACAGAATCAGTGCCACTGTGAAGAAGGCTTGACTCCTCACATAGGGAACATTACAATAGTTGATATGGAAGGTGACCTGTGCTTGCACCAACATCCTGATTGAACTCTCATCTAGGTAGGGGCAAAGTTGGGTGATAAATCTCAGCTAGTTAAAGGCAGCTCTGGACACGACTGCAATCTGGAAGTCCCAAGAGCTGTCCCAGAAGAACGCCCAGATTACAAACCTGATCCATAAATTGGAGGGCAATGCCATCTAGCCTAGGGACAATGCCCCCAATACCTCTCAAGATCTCAGTCTTGTGCAGCTTCTGTTAGCCCTGGTTAGTTCCAAGGCAGAATCCAGGCATCGCTCAAGCATCCAGACAGCATCCGTTGCAGAAGTGGTAAGGGACAGATAGAGTTGTGTGCCATCAGCGTACTGATGACACTTTACTCCAGAGCTCCCAATGACCTCCCACAACTGCTTAACATAGATGTTAAACAGCATTGGATATATTCATGATCTCTGGTACACACCATAATTGAGGATATGGGGGGGCTGACAACTCGTTCCCAAGCTGGACTCTGGACACAGCCTTCAAGAATCAGAGCCATTTCAGTGCTAGACCCACAGTCCCATATTGCTGCTCTCCCAAATTTTTCTTTTTTAAAAGAAGAACTGAAGCTAAGTGCCATGTTTAGCTGTCAGGATGCTAATTTCTAAGATTTAAAAAAAAACCTTTCACATTAGAATTGAGACTGAAGCAGTGTCACATTTTATTGCTAGTCTTCTTCAATGCCAGATATCTGGTAACAATTACTTGATTTGAACTGCAAGCTAATGTCCTGTCCTTACAAGCCTTTTTAAAGCTCATAGAATACTGGAAGATTTGTATATTATAGTTCTGCCTGATGCCATTGTTGTCAACAAAAAACAAACTGTTCCTGAAGTGTGATAAGTATCATTTGGCCTTTCTAGATTTTGGGCATTCAAGTGCTTTGTATCCTAGCTTATGTTTCTTTTTTACTAATTAAATATGACGAGTATTTCATTCAGTCTTCCAGGGTGCACTGTTCAAAGCTAATGTGGGAGAGCAGCCCAATAGCTAGTACTAGATAATTTTCCTGCCCTCTTATATTGCTTTATTTCCTATCATTTTTCAGAGAGACATTACAAGGATTTGAAGGAGATTGACACAGAATAAAGATGTGGAGAGCTTTGGTGTGGAAATGTTTGTATCTCTGAGCTTTCACATCTTTGACAGGACTGGAGAGGGGGGAAAGCAAAATAATGTACAAGGGGGCCTTCCGTCTCAGTTTTCTCTTCTACTTTTTTCCTTTTGTCCTGCCTCAGAGATGTCATTTACTAGGAGGTACAAATGATGTTTTCCCTTTGTAACCTTCCTGTGTATTCCTAACATTTCTATCTCTCTCTACCAGAAGAAAGGTATCTCAGAAAGAAAGAAAAAACATAATAGACAGTTTTTTGTCCTCTGTCTGAAAACAGAGCTTAATTCCACTTTCTGTCTACTTCAGGTATTGCAGATCTTTGGGGTGCAAACCTCCTAGTGATATCATAGAGAAATAATACATAATTAAAGATTTGATGTATCTTAATGAGAACTGTTCTTTATTAGAGTATGTGCATTCAATATTTTTATTATCTATAGTTTTCTTAGATAAAAGGCAGAGGTAGGAAGTAATTTACAGAATAACTTATGCAGGTGTTTCTGTTAAAATTAGTGATCCAAACCACTGTTTTTTTCCACTGATCATGTACTTCCTACTTTTTATAGTTCTTCATGCCATGAAAGAGGATAGTGAAAAAGTGCCAAGTTTATTAACAGACTACATTTTGAAAGGTGAGCGGGCCTATTATCCATCATGCATTTGCATTTACAAAAATACTGTGCAAAATATTTACTGTAAAACCTTGTTGCTGATAGTATCATGGATTGGGTGACACTACTTTTAACTTTTGCGTAATGTGATCAAGAATCTCCACTAAAAAACTACTTGATGATAACTTGCTTAAATGCTTGGTATAGTTTCTAAATCCAATGTTTCATCTCCATTGAAAGAAGTGGATTTTAAACAGACAGTGAATTGTCCCTGTACCTGCAAGCCCATAATACAAAGTAGACACAAAGGACTGGTGACCTTGGCCCTGTCTCCAGTAGATAGGCTTTTTAGTTTGCAGTTGAATTCAAGGAGTTACTGTACCCTGGTTTTTAAAAGAACAATTTCAAGTGTTACTTCACCTGTCTAAAAGTAAATAAAGCAATGTAATACTGCTGACATACCCAGTGTGATACTGCTAATAACTTGTGTCAATAAGGGTTTAGAATTACTGTGTGTGCATGCCAGTTAAAATTCAAGACACAGCACATATTGCTGCATCTTCATGGTCTCTGCGACTTACATATATTGATGATATAAAGATGGATTCTGTACTTGCACAGCATGTAGTTTGAAACAACACATAGATTAGAACATTATTTGGGAAAGTCTGCTACCACCTCACATTGTGGTACTGTATTACTGTTTATCAATTCTCATGAATTTTTCAGCAAAGGCCTTTTCCTCCATCATAGCATTTGCAGTGCTTCAAATTTGTGACTTTATTATTAGAATTTACTTTTCATGGTTTAATTTTGTTTTCCTTTCTCCTCTGATTATAACTTCTGTTCAGTGAATCTGCACATTATTATCTTTCATACATTGTATTTGAAGGCCTATCATATTCTTCAAGGGACTTGTGGCCTCGGAGGCTGTCTTTAAGAAATGCATTAAATACTGGAGTAAAATCCTTGTAAGTTACAAGTTGTAACTGATAGCCATTCCAAGTTTCTGCATTAGGAGGAGATCACTTCATTAATTTGTGTAGCCATTGTTATGGCTTTATAAACAAGCTTGGCAAAATTAGGCTTCACAGATTCTGCTGTGGGAAAAGGTCCTGAAGGTCATCAACTGAAAACTGACCTCTTCACATCTACTTGACTTCAATTCAGTCAATGTCCATCTGCATCTTCTCTAACATGGATATATATTCAGTTGCAGCCCATGTTGTCACAAGGCAGTCTGCCTACAGTGGTGCCTCGCAAGACGATTTTAATTCATACTGCAAAAATTGTTGTCTTGTGAAAAAACAGTCTTGCAAGGTTCCCTATGCATTGGTCTCAAAAAAAAGTCTTGCGAAGCATGGTCATAGAAAAAAAATGTCTTGCAAGGTACTATAGTGATCGCAAAAGCCAATCGTCTTGCGGGTTTTTCATCCCACGAGGCAATTGTCTAGCGAGGCACCACTGTATTTTGTTATTAATATAAGTTACAGTGGGGTCTTGACTTGAGAACTTAATCCGTATTGGAAGGCGGTTCTCAAGTCAAAAAGTTCTCAGGTCAAATCTGCATTTCCCATAGGAATGCATTGAAAACCATTTGGTCCGTATCTGCTCTTTTCCATCCATAGAAACTAATGGGAAGCTGCTATTCTGCCTCCGACCACTAGAGGGGGATATTTTGTTTCTTTTTTTCTTAGGTCAAGAAAGGTTCAGGGAAGGCAGGGAAAATACAATCCAGGCAGTACCAGGCAGTCTGAAGACTGTCTCCCAATCCACTCTCTAAACGCTGGGAGGAGTGAGGAAGCAGACAGGCACCCTTTTCACTGGCCAACAGTTAACTGAAAGTTCAAATTTTGCACTTTCCCTGCCTCCCACGTGGTTTTTTTCAGTTCTTTACTCAAATCTAAGTATGTAAGTCAAGTCAATATTTTCCTATGAGAGTGGTTCTTAAGTCAAAATGTTCTTAACTCGAGCCGTTCTTAAGTCAAGACCCCACTGTATGAGTATCACATATGGGACATGAGTTTCACTGCCAGTTGAGTCATTGGCCGTACTTGCATTCAAAGCCGAGTGTCTTCAGTTATTGCTTGCTTTCAATAAGGGTTGGGTAATGTTGGGGGATGCAGTTTACGTGACCCCTAGACAGCATAACTAGTGGTCAGGATTGATGATATGTATGTTGGTGTGAGTTGTGGCCCAGCAAGATCTGGAAAACCAAAATTTCTCACCCCTGTTTTACACAAACCAAGGAATGATAAATCTAAATACTCTTTCATTTCAACAAAAGAGAACAAATCAAAAAAATGGAAGAATGAACACCATGCTTTTGCATGTAGAGCACCAGTTCAAAGAGCAGCAGAACCAACTACTGTTCTTAGACGGCTTTTCCACAACAGGGTATTTTTAGGCCGGGCTTCAAACCAGTCCTGTTGGTGGTACTATCAGTGTTTATACTCCCCTCTGTTCTATAATAAAATTCTTAAGAGAAGATGCATATGACAATGGAACAATACTTTCAAATGATACATTATCTTTTGGCTGTTTGAATGGAGGGGCAAGTAAGAATAAGGTCTTGAATCCCACAAGTGGCCTGCAGGAATAACAATAGTTGGAGTCAAACTAACATGCTGCCCCTCTTTGCACATTGATTTTAACGCTTCTAGTAAATTCTTGAACAGGAATGTTTAGTGAACACCCATGATATTGTAAGACAGATATTAATCTCGTGGTAATGTTGGTTTAGAGAGAAAGTGTGGTGTTGTGGATAAAAGGCAACCTGAATTCAGATTCCTGCCATGAAAGCTCTCTGGGAGGGGCCTACTCCTTAAATGTCTCATGTATCTTGAAAACCCTATGAGGGTTGCTATAAGCTGCATGCACCTTCACAGCATATAACAGCAATAACAAATTTAATTCAGTATACATAACTGATACACTCTGCAGGATCTTGGCCATCTGGTTACTAAATTTCCTAGGGAGCTATAGTTAAACTTTAGATTGACCAATCCAGATAAGGAATGCTGAGTTCTCAATTATATGTCCTGCTGAGGAGGTGGAGTGAATCCCTGTTTACCATCGCCGTCATCCCTCCTTCGAATGAAGGTATCTTGATAGAGGAGAGGTTTGTGTACAGAAGTGGATTAGCTTTGTTTTACTCTGATGTTCTGTTTGTAAAACTATTCTTTCATTAAAAACTCACATTCCTTTTTGAAATGTATGTGAATCCTGTCCTGCATTTAGCCATGCTCAAGAACTTCCAGAACTGAGTCCAGTATGTATTCTTTCTGCACAGCCCCTGTAACTAAGATACATTTCCAAAAGGCAGATTTTGGTTTTGAAGAACCGGAACTCCACTAATTCTTAAAACTTTCAAACTGAATTAATAATACCAAAATATCTTACCAGCCTATATGAATATCTTACAGGTGACTGAATGGGGAGCTTTGCAAGCTGCTGGGCTGAGGGCCAAACTAGACATACTTGTTTGTAAAACACATTTTTCCCAGTCTACTGTTCATAGAAAATTAAATGACTCAGGCTGTGGGAAAATTGTTTCAAGTTATGGAATGCACTGTAGCAGGGAACAAGTTTCACTCTTTTCCTCCATATAATCACTGTTCTGCAAAAAATAGGACCTTATCTGGCTTTAAATGTGGATAGGACAAATAATTAATTTAAGCATGAGCCTTATTTAAGTGTTGATTGTCTAGTCTTCTCCAGTGGGTGAACAGGGAACGGTATACCCTTGCCTCTTTTTACTGTCAATTTCTCCATGTGGGTTCTCCACACAAGCAAGAAGTCTAGAAAATTGGTTTCTTACTTGTGTAGAAAGCCTACATGTGAGTATACTTCTGTCCTCTACAGACATACTGCTTTCTACATAGAGAAAGCAACAGTAAAGTAAGAAGAGGTGTTATGCCTTCCCCTGCTCACAAGCTGGATAGAACTGGGTAAGTAACAGAACCAGATTGTACATATTAGGCCCTGTTAACCATTCTTGAATGAATATCTAACTGCAGGATAAAGTCCTTGTTATAAGGAATTTCAGATATAGAAGTGAATACTTATCCTTTTTTAAATTTTTTTAGTTACAGGTATGTATTCGGGCTTTGGCTTTTTGCTTCTTCTAGTTCCTTAAACTATGAGATTAATATCAGAAGCCCATTGTTTTATTTTTTATGGGATATACATTTTTAAAAAATAAATCTTTAAAAACTGAATATTAATACGTTGTTCCTGGCAAGGAGGAACACATAAAGAAGTATATATGCTTTTTCAGTGTTGAAATCTGACTTTTTCATTTGCTTTTGTATTGTGCTAGCATTGATTTGAAAGCTGGAAAGCTCTGAGGTTTGTGTCTTTTAGATGTGAAATTGGAATGATGAATATGTGAAGGACATGTCTTGACTCCCTCTGTGGCTAATCTGTAGGTTGTATGCATTAGGAGAGAGGATGCAAGTTGTTGTTGGTTGGTCTTTAATGGTGAATGACGTGCCAGAGAATTCAAGAAGAAAGCAAATGCCTTTTCCTTTTTAAAGAATTAATCCTAACGTCAAAGACATGGCCTTCTATTTCACTCATTTCTGTGAGAAATAAAAGATAGTTGATGGTAGTATGTGTCTGTGTATGTATATGTTAATTTATGGGATTTTTTTCTTTGTGTGATAGAGACAAGGTTCATATTTATCATCTGTAAGAATTATCATGAGTATGGTAGAGTTTCTAGAATCCAGAACCAAACATTCTAGTTTTATTAGCCTCCATCTGACACTGTTTTGAGATTGGTCAGTAATATTTGCATGTGTTTGATTATTTTGCAGTTCTTTGTCCTACATGAAGATAGCAGTGAAAGATAGCCATGCTGATTTGTGTGAAAAGACATTTTCTATGGGTTCTTCAGAACTTTCAGTTTGTTCGGCATTGTGTCAAATTCTAATCTCGTATTCAAACGTATTTACTACTTTTGTTGCCTGCTTGGACTGTTCAATCTTGGAGTAAGTCCTATGGAGCATGTAGAATGCATCCATTTTTTTCTCACTTAAGTGTGATGCGATTGGGAAACAAAACAAATTCTGTACAGTTTTATTCACTTGCTGTATTGTTTTGGCTTTTTAGCACTATTTTTACACTAAATGGCATGTATTTATTCCCCACAGCAATTAGATTTTGTGGAGCAAAACTAAACTTTAATGTAAATAAAATAAGCCTATTAAGTTCAACTGAATTTTATTAAAAACTGTAATAGGTTATTATATTAATTGTGTAAAGCAGATCAAACGTTGAACCTGCACTTCAAAAATTCCATTGAAGAGCTTCACTGGAAATTCTAGAATGGTGTTATGAAAACTAGCACTGATTTTTAAAGAGTGAAACAGTATTGTATTATTGTGTATCAGTTCTCATGAATTTTCAGCAAAAAAAAAGTTTTAACAAACCATTAGACCATTATCTTTCATTTCTGATCCTTGTTTAACCAGCACACAATTCAGTTGGAAGTCATTTGAACAAATCCCAGTAAAATGATGGAAGCAGTGAAAGAGCACAGATAGACTTGTCTAGGAGAATCTCCTGATGGGTTGTGCTTACAGATTTGTCCCATGGCTTTCATTTTCTGCCTTTTCATCATTTTAAGGAATGTAGCTGAACATGGATACTGTACCTTGCTGCTATTGTGCTTTTTAGTCCACATGTTAAATGTTTGTCATGACATTTTATATGCTGCATTGTGTTAATAAATACTTTTAAAAACTTGCTGTTCTTTAATTCACTATTTACTGCTCTGGGGTAAGCAGCCTTGATAATGGTATCGGCTCTTCATCCTGCATCTCCTTCCAGTGACTGTCACTGATGAAAGCTACCTTCATTCTGAACTTACTTTAACAGGATACAGTCATGGCCAAAAATATTGGCACGCTTGCAGTTCTGTCAGAAAATGCGACAGTTCTGTCAGAAAACTGTTGCAATTGCAGATGCTTTGGTACTCACATGTTCATTTCTTTGGTTTGCATTGGAACAACACAAAAAAAACAGAGAAGAAAAGTAAAATCTGGTACAATCCCACACAGAAACCCCAAAATGCACTGGTCAAAATTATTGGCACCCTGTCTAAATTGTAAGAAATAATTGCTTTTCAAGCATGTGATGCTTCTTTAATTTGTATTTAGACACACCTGTTACAAGTAAGAGGTGTGGGCAGTATAGTAATCACACTTGCCATTTGACCAGTTAAGATGGAGAAAAGTTGACTCAGTCCTTGTGTTGTGTGTGACACTGAGTGAGCATGGAGAAAAGAAGTAAATGTAAAGAGTTGTCTGTGAATTCGAGATTAAAAATTGTGGAAAATCATTGACTATCTCAAGGCTACAAGTCCATCTCCAGAGATCTTAATGTTCCTGTGTCCACTGTGCACAATATTACCCAGAGGTTTACAGCCCATGGCACTGTAGCTAACCTCCCTGGACATGGATGGAAGAGCAAAATTACTGAAAAATTACAACGAAGGGTTGTTTGAATAGTGGATACAGAACCCAGATTAACTTCCAAACAAATTCAAGCTGATCTGCAGAGACATTGTACAACAGTGTCAGCTTGCACTATCCATCACCATCTGAATGAAAAAGGACACTATGGTAGGAGACCCAGAAGGACACCACTGCAGACACAACGGCATAAAAAATCAAGACTGGAGTATGCCAAAACCTACGTGACAAAACCACAATCCTGGGAGAACGCACTGTGGGCAGATGAGACAGAAGCAGAGCTTTTTGGTCAAGGACATCATGGCACTGTTTACAGAAAAAGAAATGAAGCATTCAAAAGAAAAGAACACAGTCCCTACAGTCAAACATGGTGGAGGTTCAAAATGTTTTGGGGTTGCTTTGCTGCTTTCTGGCACTGGGTCCCTTTACTGTATGAACAGTATCATGAAATCTGATGATTACCAAAGAATTTTGGGGTGCAAGGTAGTGGCCAGTGTCAGAAAGCTCCACCAGAGGTCATGGGTCTTCCAGCAGGACAATGACCTGAAACACACTTCAAAAAGCACTCAGAAATGGTTACAAACAAAGCGCTAGAGATTTCTGAAGTGGCCAGCAATGAGTCCAGATCTGAATCCCATAGAACACCTTCAGAGAGACCTCGAAACAGCATTTGGGAGAAGGCATCCTTCAAATCTGAAGGCCCTGGAGCAGTTTGCAAAAGAAGAGTGGTCCAAAATTCCAGTAGAGAGGTGTAAGAAACTCATTAATGGTTACAGGAAGCTATTGATTTCAGTTATTTTTTCCCAAGGGGGTCCAACCAAATATTAAGGGTGCCAATAATTTTGGCCAGTGCATTTTGGGGTTTCTTGTGGGATTGTATCAGATTTTTCTTTTCTTCTCTGTTTTTTGTGTTGTTCCAATGCAAACCAAAGAAATGAACATGTGAGTACCAAAACATTTGCAACTGCAACAATTTTCTGAGAGAAGTGTCACGTTTTCTGACAGAATTGCAAGGTGCCAATATTTTTGGCCATGACTGTAAATATTATTTATAAAGATCTTGGAATGGGGAGTAAAAATTAAAACCAGGACCCTGCAGTTCCCCCATACCATTAGGATTTTTCAGGTTCAGAACATTCTGTGTCTCCTATGCCTTGCTAACAAGACTTCAAAAGGCAACACTGAACCAAATGTGTGCTCTGGGGAAGAGACTCAAAAAAAGGAAAAATGAGATTGTAAGTGGTAATTCTTCAGACTAAAGAGGAAAAGTAAAATGAAATGGAAAATTGTGATTGCAGGTTTCGTATAACTGTAAGGCCTGGAATAATATGCTTAATAGAGTCAGAGAGTTCCCATGTTCATATATTTCCTTTTTAAAAGTCCTGAATCTGTCTTTGTTAAAAAAGAATATTTTAAATAAAATAAATAATAATAGTTATAGTGGCAATGGAGAAAAAATCCTAATAGAAAGTCTTAGCGTAAGAATGCACAAAGAAATGCTACACAACCACTGCTAGTGGTGAACCACCCCCTTTTGAGAAGCAGTTGGATAATTTCTCGTTCCCTTTGACAGATTTGGTGAGATTGTCCACCATGCCCCAAATATAAGGTACACTGGGCTGATACAAGGTAAGAAAGAGGTAGTAGCCCACTTGTAAGCCAAAATAATTTTTAAAATAAAGTATCATAATTTAATGTCAGTCTTCATCTCTGCAGCAGCCAAATAAGTTTCATGTTCTGTCTGCCAGAAAGAGAAGTTACGACTTTTCCTTTGGGATACTAATCTTGACACAGCAATGTGTATCTTTGTTACCACCACATCAAATTACCCCCATATGTGTACTGCTTTCATGAGGGCCGGAAATAGCAACTAGCTGGGAATGTCATACTTCTGTTCTTAGCAACAGTGTTTGTGATGGACACATTTACACATGTGCTTCATGAGATAAACTAATTTAATAGCTTATTTACAGATGTAACATTTATTTTATTTACAAGATTTTTTTAGCCACACCATTCATTACCAGTGGTCTCTGAGTGGCGTACAACAATATTAAAACATGAAAATCATTAAAAATAGGCAATATTATAATAATATCCTATATTAAAAACAATCATTAAAACATTAATATTAATAAATCCTGCTGCTCATATGGCCAGCTAAAGAATACTATTTAATTAAAATGCTGGCTAAACAGAAAGGTTTTTTCCTGGCACCGAAAAGCCAAAAGTGTTTGAGCCAGGGTGGATCTCTATAGGGAGGGCGTTCCAAAGTTGGGGGGCTAGATTCTTTTTTGCTCACATTCTTTGTGATGGTGAGGCTAAATAATTCGCACACAGTGTGAACATGATATTCCAGAACGGGTGCAAACCCATCTAGAATTGTCGGTAGTTACAAACCAAGTTCGTTTGACTGCTGATCAACATTCAGTTTATCCAGAAAAAGCCAGTTAATTAGGTCACATCCAGTCCATTCTTGGGCACAGAAAACAAATCTGATTCTTTGGCATTTGCTGCAAAAGAAAGAAAGATGGAAGATGAATATCAGCAGCATAACGATGGAATCCCAAATCCTACATGACCTCTCATGACATCTCTCTCTCTCTCCCTCATGTGAAGTTCCTGGAATGGTGCTTGAGAACAGCCAAGGTAGTGGTTGCCATGGCACTGGCTGCAAACTGGGTCTGAGGGATATCTTGCACCCTTGCTCATGAAGTACTTTGCAGGCCCTCCGAGAGCACCATCAGCCCAGGTCACAATTAATGGATAATTGATAGTTTTCATAATTCAGACTTGCACATTTTTCAAGTTTCCATACATTATATTTCCTCACCTTTTAAAAATGAGCCCAGAACAAGAGGCAATGACATTGGAAATATCTCTGGAATCTGCCCCCAGACATACTGCTTTCAAAAGCTAGGTTTTAATATATAGAAACACATTGGCATGAATACATATCCCAGGATCCAACTGTCAATTTGCCAATGGGACTGCAGCCATCAGCAAAGGCAGGAGGGTAATTAATTAATCAATCAATCAATCAATCAATTAATTAATTAATGAAAAATATTTTTACCCCGCCTTTCTTCTTGAAAAGGACACAAAGCGGCTTACAACAGTAAAAGACAATAATTAAAGTTAAATATCTATCCCCCTCCGTGTCCTCTGCAGCCCATTATGCAGCTTCACAATCTGATCAAGGATGCTGAAAAACATTCTGAAGCAGGTTTTCAGGCAGTGCAGATGGCTGTAGTGGGAAGGGAAGGGAAAGTCTTATGATATCAGTAGAACACTAGTCTGATGCTGGAGTTAGGCCTTTGCTTTTACAGTAATGTGTGATGGTATACAAAAGACGAAGTATATAGTATATTGGTGAACAAATCAGAGATGTACATGGGATTGTGTAACAAGAAGGCTTATGAGTTCTGATGCTGATGCTCCTCTCCCTGCCTGTGCCCAAAACACCCAATGGTGTTATCCTGCTGCTTGTGCAAGGCGGAATCCACTAACACTTTGTGCATGTGGAAATCCTTGTGTAACTGCAAGGCAAAGATTAACAGGTCAAGTGCAAAGCTCACCAGCCACAGAAATGTCATGCTCCACATTTGCCAACAGGATTCTGGCAGGTATACGTATTTAACAAGACTTTGATACATTTTAGATATTGAATACATTTATGTTTGTAGCAAGATCACGTTTCACTTCTGGAATGTTTTTTTCCTTAGCAAATTTCAGTCCTGGTCATATTATGGTGGACATCATTAAACAAACTAGATGAGAAATGATCCAGTATTAGCACCTTTTGTTATATTAATAAACTAACAATGTATCGGTGCTGATGAAGCATCTTTGCTTAACACAGCACAATTATTCCAAGCAAGGATGTATGCAGGGGTAGGCATAGTAAAGCCTTCCAGATGTCAGACTACAATTCGCATCAGCCCTAAGCAACATTACTGGTAGTGAAGCATGCTGGAAATTACAGTTAGCCAATATCTGGAGAACAAGGGACGTGGTGGCACTGCGGGCTAAACTGCAGAAGCCTGTGCTGCAGGGTCAGAAGACCAGCAGTCGTAAGATTGAATCCACGTGACAGAGTGAGCTCCCATTGCTTTGTCCCAGCTCTTCGCCAACCTTAATGGTGAAGTGAACTGCCCAGAGATGAAACCAAACAGACACTGTTGTAGTGTTGAAAGTATTATTTACATTAAAGTCCATATATACAGGGGTAAATACAGCTTCTCTTGGTCTTTATACAGTCCTG